AGAGAGAGAGAGAGCGCGCGCGAGCGCGCGCGCGCGCGAACAAGAACAGAGGGGAAGCAGGATGTGGAAGATGGAGACTGAGGAAAAAAAGGAGTGATGCTGGTGTGATAGCTTGCTCAATCTTATTTCATTTCTAAGATGAGCTTTATGTTGCTCTGACAATTTTAAAAAGCTGTATCCTTGTTAAAAAACACTGATCCTCAACATAGGGTTGATTAATGCATTTGTGAAGCTTCTCTCAGCAAAGCACAGATCATATCCCTGATGCTGCTCTTCTTAGGGTGCTGACCAATCAAGATGAGTATGACCCTCTGCACTCTGTGGCTCACATTCATCCAGTGCTAAGCAAGTGGTAGTAACTTTCATTTCCTTTCTCTTCCTCTGCATTTTCACCAGATGTTCACCAGATGCATTTTCAGCCATCTAGCAGGGGCACTTCGTAGAGAGAAGGAAGGATTCCTCATATTCTGTCCACCCCAGTCTCCTCACCTTCTCTTGAAACACCACTTTCACCCCTCTCCATGACTACCTTCCAACTTTGGAGAGCACTGGATGTGAGGCAGAAAGAGATTGGCACTGTCTCTGACCTGAGCACTGGGAATCCAAACTAAGCTATTGCCCTCACGCAATGTTCAGGGGACATAGGACCATCTCCTCCAGGAATAAAATTGGACTAGATCTTAAATCAAGCCTGCAGAGCTAGTGATTTGTCAGGCTGAAAAGAGTCCACTAGCTGCATATGGTGGTTCACCAGGGGCTTCCTTAGGGATGTACAGATCTTGTTAAATCTGTCCTGTCTGTGTGTCATGGTTTATTGGATATTTTATTCTGTTGTCTATTTATTGAAAGCATCAGAAGATGGTTGGTTGGTGAATTGATTGGTTGGTGGATTGGTTTTATTTGATGAAGAAGAGTACCATTTCTGTTTGCAATTGCATATTTGTGTTAAAGGAAATGTGCATTTGAAGGAAAAGTGTTAGTACGCATATGTACACAATTGCATCTTCTTTAGGATTAATCCCTCTTCCCAGGGTCCCTAGAAATCACATCTCTGGGGAACTGAGGTGTTCATGCACACACACAAATGGACAAAAATTACTATAAAACCCCAGTACACTTTTGCTTACACCAACACACCCATCGAGATGGTAAATATTGCTGAATTATTTTGAACTGATTTTGTTCTGGAGATTGGATACACTTCAAAATAACACACTTCAGAGTAACATTGAGCCTGAACAGTTCTGGGTTTGCTTGTTTGTTTGTTTTTTTGACAAGGACATCTATATGTCATTGTACAGAAAAACAGAAACAAAAAAACCTCTCCTTACCTTTGAATAGCCTGTAAAAAAAAGAAAACTTTTGAAAGGGACCTTTAAAAAATAGCTTTGTCAAAGCACTGTGCTCCCATAAAAGGCAGTCACTCACATTTTTCCATTTCTTAAGTACCTAGACTCTTGGGGAAGGGTGAAAAACTGAAGGAACCTGACAAGAGTTGGGCCCCAAAAAAGCCCTTGAGGATCTCCCTACAAAGGGTGCAATCTAGTGAAACCTCCTTTTCATGAGGAAAAATCATTTGTGGCTTTGGTTTTCTTGACAGCACACCTTTTGGTAACTGTTGCAAGAAACCAAACTGGAAAACAACATGGTGTGTACCTGCTGCATTTGACAATTGATACCCCTCAGGACATTGCCCAGATCAGAGTTGCCATTTTAGATCTATGCAAGTGCACACACATGTATTCACACAAATCTAATTTAAATTATTGAAACAGAGGCAAAATTATTGTGCTCAAGAAGCTGCCAAACTGGAGGTAGTTTTTTGTGATTTCCAAGGGAAAAAATGGAGAGAGAGAGAAAAAGCTGCAGCAACTGCAAAAAGGCTCGCGATAATGGCAGAAGGGCAGACGAGATGTGTCATCCTGCAGGTTGCCCTGAGATACTTGGGGAGGACCAAGGAGGAAGAAAGGGGACAGCCAATAGCAAACTTGGTCATGTGTTGGGCACACAGTGGGTTCTTTCATAAACAATCCACACTGTAGCTTATTCACATTGGGTGTTATTATGACATGCAAACTTGCCCTAAGAGTGAATCTCAGGTTTACACTGGTTCAGTTTTGCAGGGTCAAGGAACTGCTGTATGAAATGAAATACAGAGCTCCCAAGTCATTACTGAGGGTGTGTGTGCTGCAAGTGTCACACAACCCCATAACTTCAGTGTGTGTAAAGTAGATGTGGGGTAAAGTAACATCCAACAGCCCTTCTAGAATGAAGGGAGCTCTGACAAAGTTCTTTCAATGGTTATTAAAATGGAAGACAAGCACATCTCTGCCCCAGACACCAGGGATAACCTTCATGGACTTTCACTACCTTCCTGCAAAATTCTTAAGCATGGTGGGAACCAATGGACACAGAATATTAGGCTAGTCAGATTTTGACCTGATCAAGTATGACTGCCTTCAAGATTTTAAGCCCAGAAATATTTCATACTTGAATATTCCCTCCTTTTGAATGCAAGATCCTGGACATTGTGTTTTGCTTGTATCATGCCTGCATCATTTCTTTCACAGGAAGCTGGAAGAGTTACAGTATACCTAGGAGACAGTAGGTATACTATCAGTAACATTTCCATTATTATTTACTAATTTATGGATCTTATTGTACCCTCGTGGTACATGGATCTTTACATATGCTAAGACAATTGGACTCTGCTCCAAGGAACATATAAATTAAACCCTGATAGGTTGCTATTATTGCCCTGCAGCTGAAGATTTGAAACCAGTTCAGAGGCACCCACACACTCAACTCCCAAATCGAGCTGTGAATTCCTGGAGAAAAATTAAGCAAAAAAAAATACAACCCTCTCACTTGTTCACAGCACAATTGTACCTCTAATCTCAGTGACTGACAAAAAGGTACATACATTTGATGCTTGATCTACATTTGTATAGATGCAAATCTATACAATGCAAATATATTTTGAAATAATCAGTGTGACTTTTTTTAAAACGACCACTTTACAGAATCATTGAAACCTTAAATCTGTCTGCTTTCCTCCCTTCCTCCCTCACTTTAAGCATTGTTTTAGCAAAATGTAGAATGCTATAACATTTAAAAGTCTCTACATTAAACTATATATGAGCTTTATTTTAGTTCTCCCTCAGTCAAATAAATAAACAAACACAGTTCTTTATAAATTAAATTTTCTGGAAGCCTAATTGGGACCATGGGGGATATTTTCAATTCATAAATGTTGCAGTAGAAGGATGCCTTGGCTGTTTCATTTACGGTGGGAAAATGGAAACGTTACTTGCCTGTTAGCTGCATATATATAGCTGAGCTGAAGAAAGAGATGGCAGCAATAAGAACTGTATTTGAATGATGACTGATAGGCTTTACTGCAGTGAGGAAAGACTGTCTTGGATGCAATCTGTCCTGACAGCTCTGTGAAATGTGAATGTCTCACGCAGTCTAGAATGACGGATGCAGACACCCTTCATGAGAGAAACAGGCTGGCACCCGGATCTGATATAGATATATGTGGGTGTGATGGCACACAGAGAGAGCGTGCCAGAGTAGTTGAAGCTTGGCAGCCAGGGCCACTCCATTCTGCTAGGTTGCAGCTGTACTTGCAATTCCTCTGTCAAAGCTTCCTATCTAGCAGCAAGCTTGAAGGTTTCTGCAAACATAGTTCACTTTTGGAGCATAATGGGGATTTAAGGCAGGGGTAAATGACATGGTTCCTGCAAGGGCCCCCGGACACCTTTCTTTGTGTCCACCAAGGTGCCCTACCCCTCCCACTTAAAAAAATACACATTTTCTCATCAGTGACTGCTGTGAAGTAAGTTTTTGTCAGGGCCAAAAGCTGTGGGTTCATAGGAGCTGCTCAGTGGCTTGGGGCTCAGGTACCATCTTTCTCTTGTACTCAAGGTTTTGGGTAGGTTATTTGACCATTTCCATGGCGGCTATTTTATCACAATGCTCAGGAAAGTCTTTGAAATCATCAACTATGCCAATGACCAAAATAGTTAACCCTGATATATGGCATTTCACTGTTGCATGATGTTTAAATCAGGGGTTCATAAATTTTTTCCTGGAGTCTACTTGCCCGATGCAACATTGAACAAATCCTTCAGTTTTCAGTGCATTACAAGAAACGCATAGGAGAAAGGGGCATCTTACTTCACTCTGGGGCCAGGAGAAGGAAAGAGAGAAGGATCTCTTCCATGTGCCTATGGTTTGACATTCGCTCTAGGCCTTGAAGACTTTTGGAAGCAGCTAGATTCTCTCTCTCAGCCTCTGTGTGCTTCTAAGGTTTGCAGAAAGATCTAAACATTTTTATTTATTTATTTATTAAAACATTTTTACGCTGCCCCATTCACCGAAGCCTCGGGGCGGCTTACAACAAATAAGTTAAATAACATTTTAAAATATATACATTAAAATAAATTATGATTATACAATATAAAATAAGCCGCCCTGGCCAGAAAAATTCAATAATATTAACATTTAAAATGCTGCTCGAATAAAAAGGTCTTCGCCTGGCGCCGAAAAACAAATAACGATGGCGCCAGGCAGACCTCTCTGGGGAGCGCATTCCATAACTTAGGCACCACCGCTGAGAAAGCCCTCCTCCGAGTAGCCACCCTCCTAATTTCTTTCACGGAGGGCTCCCGGAGAAGGGCCTCTCCCGCCGATCTCAGGGGGCGGCTGGGCATATATGGATGTAAGTGCTCCTTCAGGTAACCAGGACCCAAGCCGTTTAAGACATTAAGGTCAATTGATATCAGTTTTGCACCAGACATGAGGGCAAGCCAGAAGCAGTAAGAAAGACCTTCACTGCTTCTTAAGCTCTACAAAAACCAGCACAGAGATTGTCCTCTCTGCACGTGCCAGAGCATTTTGAGAGGCTGCCAGCACTCAGAAATCAGGGCTACCCAGGCCAGACCATTGTGTAGATCCCTCCCTCTCCAGTATAAGAGTTACTTGCTGTACAGTACCTTCTCCCTTAAGAGACATTCCAGCTGTGTCAAAGTCCTTGTCCGGTTATCTCTGATATTACTCCACCTGAAAGAATAGCTCAGTGAAATAATGACATAGTTTGTGCAGACCAAACCTACCCTACTATGAAAATAACCAAGAGACTCAGTATTTGCAGCTGGAGATAAAGAAGGCACCAATCATGAGTAATGGACACAGACTAGTGGGAAGGAGCAAGCCAGAAGGGCTTTGTCCAGCATTTTATTTGGTGGCATATCTGTGCACAAAACTAGGTGAGACTCTGGGATAATGGGATGCACCCTCCCATGTGTTCTTTTGTATTTCAATTTGCAACTGCCACGAGGTAGGACATTCCACCAGCAATCTGAGTTTACCTACTTCCAAACACATTATTCTCCTAACATAAATCACCTTCAGACCCTCAATGAGGTTATCTGCCACGCAAAATAAGACAAATAAATAAGTATCAGATGTGCGGGTCAGTGTTCAAATACCTTTCCTTCTACAACCCACTCCAATCTGGGGCCTGCTCCCTGCAAAGCTGAGTTGCACCAAGAAAGGTGAGCAGCAGGAAGAGATCTAGCCATACATCTCCCAATGTCTCATTCACTTTGGCCCTTCCCATTTGGTCTTCAAGGTGTATCAAGTATGCTCTGACATCACCTTATGTCTGTCTCCAGCTTTCACAAAGCACTGTTTCTAAATGCTTTCCAAGCATGTAACTGCTATTTGCTTAGATGTTCATTTATAATGCTACCTAGGCCCATAAGGCTCCAGTATGTCCGCTTAAACAAAAGGTCATTGGTTTCCCCTTCATGGATCACTGTCTTGTCGTGAAGAAGGGGCTTGTGTAGCTCAATGAAGCTACAAGCTATGCTGTGCAGGGTCACCCAAGACGGACTGGTCATAGCAGAAAGCTCTGACAAAACGTGATGTTCCACTGGAGAAGGAAATGGCAACCCACTCCAGTACCCTTGCCAGGAAAACCCCATGGACAGTACCAAAGGCACAAAGATATGACACTGGAAGATGAGCCCCTCAGGTCAGATGGTGTACAATATGCTACTGGGGAAGAGCAGAGGGCTAGTACTAGTAGTGCCAGAAAGAATGAAGCAACTGGGTCAAAGCCGAAAGGACACTCAGCTGCGGATGTATCTGATGGTGAAAGGAGAGTCCGATGCTGTAAAGATCTATACTCCATAGAAACCTGGAATGTAAGATCCATGAAGCAAGGCAAGCTGGACGTGGTCAAACAAGAGATGACAAGACTGAACATTGACATCTTAGGAATCAGGGAACTAAAATAGACAGGAATGGGTGAATTTAATTCAGATGGCCATCAGGTATACTACTGCGGACAAGAATCCCTCAGAAGAAATGGAGTAGGCTTCATAGTCTATAAAAGAGTAGGAAAAGCAGTACTGGGATACAATCCCCAAAATGACAGAATGATCTCAGTTCGAATACAAGACAAACCATTCAACATCACAGTAGTCCATGTCTATGCCCCAACCACTGGTGTTGAAGAGGCTGGAGTTGACCGGTTCTGTGAAGGCCTACAACACCTTCTCGAATTAACTCCAAAAAATGATGTCCTTATCATCATGGGGGATTGGAATGCTACAGCAGGAAGCCAAAAGATAACTGGAATAACAGGCAAGTTTGGCCTTGAATTACAAAATGAAGCAGGGCACAGGCTGGCAGAAATTGTCAAGAAAACACGGTGGTCATAGCAAACACTCTTTTCCAACAACCCAAGAGACAACTCTACACATGGACATCACCAGACAGTCAACACAGAAATCAGATTGACTATGTGCTCTGCAGCCAGAGATGGAAAAGCTCTATGCAGTCAGTAAAAACAAGACCAGGAGTTGACTGTGGCTCAGATCATGAGCTTCTTGTGGCAAAATGTAGGCTTAAATTGAAGAAAGTAGGGAAAAGCACTAGGCCACTCAGGTATGACCTAAATCATATCCCTGATGAATATACAGTAGAGATGACAAACAGATTTAAGGAAATAGATCTGAGAGTGCCTGAAGTACTATGGATGGATGTTCGCAACATTGTACAAGAGGTAGCAATTAAAACCATCCCAAAGAAAAAGAAATTCAGTAAAGCAAAATGGGTGTCTGAGGAAGCTTTACAAATAGCTGAGGAAAGAAGGGAAGCGAAAGGCAAGGGAGAAAGAGAAAGATACACACAATTGAATGCAGAATTCCAGAGAATAGCTAGAAAAAAAAGAATGCCTTCTTCAATGAACAGTGTAAAGAAATAGAAGAAAACAATAGAAGAGGGAGGACCAGAGATCTCTTCAAGAAAATTGGAGATATGGAGGGAACGTTTCATGCAAAGATGGACATGATAAAGGACCAAAATGGCAGGGACCTAACCGAGGCAGAAGAGATTAAGAAGAGGTGGCAAGATTACACAGAAGAACTGCACAAGAAAGAGCGTAACGTCCCTGATAACCATGGTCACTGAGGTGGTCACTGACCTGGAGCCAGACATCCTGGAATGTGAAATCAAATGGGCCTTAGGAAGTCTGAGCAACAACAAAGCTAGTGGAGGTGACAGTATTCCAGCTGAGCTATTCAAAATCTTAAAAGACGATGCAGTAAAAGTGCTACACTCAATATGCCAGCAAATTTGGAAAACTCAAGAGTGGCCACAGGATTGGAAAAAGTCAGTTTACATTCCGATTCCAAAAAACGGCAATGCCAAAGAATGTTCAAACTACCGCACCATTGCACTCATTTCACATGCTAGCAAAGTTACGCTCAAAATCCTACAAGCTAGGCTCCAGCAGTATGTGGACCAAGAACTACCAGAAGTACAGGCAGGATTCCGAAGAGGCAGAGGAACTAGAGATCAAATTGCCAACATACGCTGTATCATGGAGAAAGCTAGAGAATTCCAGAAAAACATCTACTTCTGCTTCATTGACTATGCTAAAGCCTTTGATTGTGTGGATCACAACAAATTCTGGCAAGTTCTTCAAGAGATGGGAGTACCAGACCATCTTATTTGTCACTTGAGAAACCTGTATGCAGTCAAGAAGCAACAGTGAGAACTGGACATGGAACCACTGATTGGTTCAAAATTGGGAAAGGAGCCTCTTGATGCAGGTGAAGGAGGAGAGCGCAAAAGTTGGCTTGAAACTCAACATTAAGAAAACTAAGATCATGGCATCCAGTCCTATCACTTCCTGGCAAATAGATGGGGAAGAAATGGAGGTAGTGGCAGATTTTATTTTCCTGGGCTCCAAGATCACCGCAGATGGGGACTGCAGCCAAGAAAGTAAAAGACGCTTTCTCCTGGGGCGGACAGTGATGGCAAATCTAGACAGCATACTAAAAAGCAAAGACATCACCCTGCCAACAAAAGTGCATATAGTCAAGGCTATGGTTTTCCCAGATGCAAAGTATGGTTGTGAAAGTTGGACCATAAGGAAGGCTGAGCGCTGAAGAATTGAGACTTTTGAACTGTGGTGCTGGAGAAGACTCCTGCGAGTCCCTTGGACTGCAAGGCGATCAAACCGGTCAGTCCTAGAGGAGATCAACCCTGGCTGCTCTTTAGAAGGCCAGATACTGCAGATGAAACTCAAATTCTTTGGCCACCTAATGAGAAGGAAGGACTCACTGGAGAAGAGCCTAATGCTGGGAACAATAGATGACAAAAGAAGAAGGGGACGGCAGAGAATGAGGTGGCTAGATGGAGTCACTGAAGCAGTTGGCGTGAGCTTAAGTGGACTCCAGGGGATGGTGGAGGACAGGAAGGCCTGGAGGAATGTTGTCCATGGGGTCACGATGTGTCGGACATGACTTTGCGACTAACAACAATAACATTGGTTTTAGCTCAGGTCAGAAAATAGCTGTGAACTCATTTGTGCAGGTGCAGAAGAAATATCAGCTCTACCACCTTCCAGTGGCAGATCGGGTTTTAACATAAACATAACAAGCATGAATCTTGTGGAACTGACTCCTGTCCATGAAAACTGATGCCATCATAGAAGTGTTTGCCTTTCAAGTGCCATTAGTTCCTTTATTATTCTTTCTACAGCAGAGAAGGTGGGATGTCGCAAGCTGGATCTCATGCCAGGGGAGTTTGTAGGAAAGGATAGTGACAATAGCAGATTATCATGGCACAGTTCCATGCGTATAACAGTAGGTATAATAGCCCAGGCCTGTTCTATACATGCAGCAGAATTAGGGGGCAGTGGATTCTACTATTTCACACTAAAATGTTATTTTTAGGTGCTTCCCCTAAGTTTAAACAGTACACTTAACAAAGCACTGCATGAAATGGGCTGGAATTATTTTCTTACAGTGAGCTTTGCTTGTTTGTGTAAAGGATAGCATTCAAAAATATGATGCCTCACCTGAAATTTATAGTGGTACAGTACAAATGACTAACACCTCCGGCCTTAATCATTACTTCCTTTGCCATGTGTAGACAAAGTCATCAATGGTTTTAAAGCTGGATTAGACAAACTGGAGGAAAAACAGGCCTATTGATGGCTATTAGCCAGGGCAGCTTAAATGAAATCTCAGTGTTTAGTAGCAGCACAAATCTTGATAATCAAGATCAAATCTTGATTATCATCTACTAGAAGTAAACAATGAGGGGCAGGTTTCTTTCTTATGCCCTGCTTGTAAATGCTGTGGCACTAAAACTTCTGAAAATGGCAGCCCTGGGTTGTGTTCCCTCCCTCTACCAAACTGCATCCCATTCACTTACCATATGCCCTGAGGTCAATATGAAGTACATTTCCCCTCCCCAGCTCCATACAAGATGAAGGTGAGGAAATGTGCATCCTAATAGCCTAGGGAAAGTTTACGTGGATGGCATGGGGTAGGGGCATTCACTGCTAGAGAAACTGAACACAAGCCTGCCATTTTGCCTTTCAGTGGTAGTAGCATGTTCTTGGCACCATCTAGATAAATTTAAAATTCAACGTAATTAGTTCTACCCATATCAGAACATTACAATGTAGCAATGTCTAAATAATACAACTGTTCTTACTTCATGGTCAGATCATCAACTGGTCTAGAGAACTTTGACAAAAATTCAAGATAGGGAACAGCAACTTTTGTACTGCCTGGAATCTGTTTCAATAAAAAAGAAAAGTTAGCACAAATGGTATTACAGGAAATTGTCTCCACTCTTTCACAAAAGTAATATTTAATTACATGGTTGATCTCCTATATTCAGATTTCTTTGCATTCTTTTAACTCTTAAAAATGCAACAGAAGCTTTCAACAAATGAGCTCCTACATCAAAATATTTGTTATCCCAATCACTCTCAAATATTATTAATAATAACTCACATCACATTCTCAAGGCAGCTTGTCATTGGTTTGATTATTAACATATAACATAACACAATATTGCCTATTTCAACACTGGGAAGTATCACTACAGCTAGAATCCTTTAAAATAAAAGTTGAAATTTCATTAGTTCTCTAACCCAAGGCAAATTCATATATTAAGGAAAACTGAAGGGTAAAAGTTTTCCTGGACTGCACCTCCTGGAGGTGAAGGGTTGAATGTTTTGAGTCTCCTTCATAGGGGAAAAAATATCCTTCATGTGCAGAAAAAGCCTGCTGCAGAGAAAGTGACAATGAACCTTCCTCCCCAGTGTACTATTGCTTGTTAAACCAATTAGACTGGGTGACTGTGGAGGGAAGTATTAACACTTGCAGCACCTTCCTCAGAAAACTGCAGCCTTAAGTGGATTCAAGGAAACACACACCACATGATTTATTAAAATATATAAACTAACTCAAGCCTCCAAAGTTCTCAGGCTGCCTCACCAAGAAACTATCCTTGGTCTCCCCTAATGGACAGCTCATTCAGGATATGCCATGCTGTAAACAAGCCATGAGGGCTGATTCAGTACTCAGTAAGCTCTGCTGAAAGATGATCAGGCACTCACTGGCTTGCCATGATTTGATTAGGCACTCAGGGCACATATCCCAGGGGCCTTTACAGAACAATTCCTCTATACCCCTGCTGATAGGAGATTCTCCCCCAGGTCTGACACACCTTTCAAGGTGAGCAAAGCACCAGTGTTGAAGCATATACATTATACCTTCAGTGAGGTGGGGGGGGGGGGTTTACCTTATTCTTAGGACCAGGCAGCTTCAACATTTTTAAAGGGCTCTTTGGCTGCCCCTTGCAGCCAGATATAAGCAACGTTCATTTTCCTTGCAAGGCTATGGAAATTTAATTGATTTAATTACGATTAGGTAAGCAAGTGCAGCCCCAATTTTGGACAATGGTGATTTGGGAAAAGGGATTTAACTCCCCTCCTCCTGTTTCATGCTGGCATTCTTGCCTATGGAGTGGTATATGAAAAAGAAAAAAAGAGGGACTTGGGAAAAAAATATCCTCCCCATGGAGGGGTGGGATTTCAGAATGAAAACAGGAGGGGGGAAAAGCTTGACTCCTCCCCCTCCCAGATCAAGGTCCCAGACTGGGGACACATATGCTTACCCACAGGTAAGTTGACCAGACATACACACATATGGGATAAAGCTGGTCGCTGTCAAATGAACTGCTGAGCCAGAAAAGAGGGGCAGGGTGTACTGTAAGGACTGGTACAGTTGTCTGTTGCATCTCTGTAACCCTTTCAGCTAAGCCATGCAGAGCCCATGCTGCTAGATTCACACTTCATGACAAGCCCCCTTGAGCAGCTCAACAACCTAAAAATTCTCAAGGTAGACACTGTGTGGTTAACAACCCATACTTAAACTGTTGTGTCAGGTTTGGACAACATGAGGAGCCTATCTGAAACAAACAAAGGTGACAACATACTGTTGGATGTCATGAAGTGTTAACCCAGTCAGTGAGTTCTTGAGGCAGAAGTTAAGTATTGACTTATTGACCAGTTAACATTTACATCTCACTACTAACTGGCCAGAATTAGCCAGGATGATATAGGACATTCAGTGAGAAAGTTGGTGCCATTTCTGTTCCTGCCTTGGCTCCAACCTTACTTCTGCCTTAGATTGTTTAATTTTTTCTTATGCCATCTATTATTTTCACAGAAAACCTCAAGACCTTTTACAATAATAAAAACACAGGAACAATGCACTGCACTTTATTAAAACAGAATTAAATAAATGCATGTTCAATAAAAGGTTGAATAAAAAGGTTTTAGTCTGATGGCAGAAGGAATGGAGAGCTGGCACCAGACAAACCTCTCTGGTGAGCATATTCCACAGCTGATGCACCACCACTGAGAAGGCCCTTCTTGTAACAGCTCTCCTCACTTCCTTCAAAAAGGGCTGTTGGAGAAAGCCCTCCATAGATCTTAAGGACCAGGCAGAGTATATGGAAGGAGGTGTTCCTTTAGATATCCAGGCTATAAACCATTTTGGCTTTATATGTCATTGTCAACCTTAAACTGAATCTGGACTTGAATTGGTAACCAGTGCAGATGGTACACAGCCAGTGTTATATGGTCATGTCTGCTGGCCCGTCAATAAGCTGGCTGCTCTATTTTGTGCCAACTGAAGTAACTGGATCATCTTTGAGGGAATCCCTACATAAATGTTATAATAATAGAAATGTTATAATAATAATAATAATAATAATAATAAAGCATATTGCAATAGCCCACATGGGAAATTGCTAGGGTATGAGTCACTGTTGCCAGTCTCTGTCTATCCAGGCAAAGGTGCAGCTGATGGACCAACTTCAGATTGTGAAAATCACTCCTCACCATAGAAGCACCCTGGCATTCCAGGGAAAGTTCCAGGTCAAGGAATACTCCCAAGCTACATACCCTGTCCCTTAGAGGAAGTGCAGAACAGGGTAAATCTCACTTACCTGAATTGATAATCCACCTACCAGTAACACTTCCATCTTATCAGGATTAAGCCTCAATTTATTGGCCCTCATCTAGCCTATCACACCATCCAGACACTGATTTAACAGTCACTACCTCACCTGGATTAGATGAGAATGAGAGGTAGAGCTGGGTGTCATCAGCCTACTGATGAATCCTCAGCCCAAACCTCCAGATGACTTCTCCCAACAGTTTCATGTTGATGTTGAACAGCATGGGGGATAGGATGGAGCCCTGTGGCACTCCATGGCATAGCTGCCATGGGACCAAGGTACTGTCCCCCAGCAACACCATCTGGAATCAGCTGACCAGGTAGGAACAAAACCAGTGCAGGGCAGTGCCTCCAAATCCTAGTCTGGCCAACCTATCCAGAAGGATAGCAAGATGGATTTTTTTAAAAGCTACTGAAAAGTCCAGGAGAATTAACAGGGATACACTTCCCCTTTTGTTCTCCTGGCAAAGGTCATCCCACAGGGCAACCAAGGCAGTTTCACTTCCAACACCAGGTCTAAAACCAGACTGAAATGAGTTCAAATGGTCAGTTTCCTCTAAAAGTGCCTGGAGTTGCATGGCAACCACCCACATAAGCACCGTGCCTAAATCCTATCCCTCTGGATCACTTTCAAGAGTGGCATGATCACCACCTCCTTCAAGTGAGAGGAGACCAGACCCTGCTTCAGAGAGGTGTTTATGAGATCCTGGACCCTGGGACACATCCCTTCTCTGGCTTTAGTAATCAGCCAGGGCCAAGAAACAGATAGTGCTTGGGAGGATGTTACTTTTGGCCCCTTTTCCCTTCGTACCCAGTTACTCCATACTCACTCTCAAAGGCCTGAAGGGAGAGCTTGTGATTGGACTGGATCTGCTCCATCTTCAGTTTCTTCACCAGGGGTACAGCGACAGCCAAGGTGGCTGCTGCCGCAGACACTGAGGAAGTGCTCCCACCACTGCCAGAATAGCCACTGCTGCCACCACCAACTCCAATAGCACCACCAGATTTGCCACCTGGAGCAGCGGTGGAGGTAGAACTGCCAAAGGCACCTTGCCAGCAGGAGCAGGCAGAGAATGCTGGGGTAAACTCTTGCAAGGCCAAACTGACCCACCCTCTTCCTGAGCCTCAGTCATGCCTAAGCCATCACTGGGATCCGAACTGGGGAGGCTCTGAGCCTTCTGTAAGCCTCAAAATAAACTCAAACAGCAGCATGCAGCTCCTAAGTCTCCGTTTGCCCACCCCTGCTATAATCAGAGCAGCATCACTTTCTCTCACATATTATGAAATACCTCTTCTAAGATCCTGCTTTAGTCTTCTGTGCATGCATGATATGGAAATAAAGAGCCTTTTCTTCTTCAGAGTTATTGTTTTATTTATAAGCAAGTTTATGCAGATTTAACTCACCAATTAATCCATTAAAATTCATATGATGAATTGACAAAGACTGGTTTAATTATTTGTCAGTCCTAGAGCCATACTACACCTTCTGCTAATAGCATGGCATGTAGCAGAAGCTTGTTAATTTTTATCCTCTACTGTGAACTTGCATGAACCCAATTCATATTAGGATATCACATTCCTACAGGGTGTGTGTGTAGGTTTTTTTTTAAGTCACCACTGACTCTAGTGGAGACTTATTTGTTTCTGGGTCTTTTAATCTTTGGTGGGAATTGGGGTAGAAAGAGGAGCAGGTTTAATACAGGCACACACGAGCACAGTGCACCCAATTCAAACCAAAACTGCATGCATTTTAAGCAAAGAGAACTACAACACACAAGATGATTAGTGTAACACATAGTTTAGCTCCAAGTTTTAACAACCTTCAATAAGAGAAAAAGCTGATACAATCCCATATGAGTACACACCTTAGCCAGCAAAGAATCAAATTGTTCTTGTGTCAGGGGTAAAAGGAATGTTTCAATCACTCTTCTAAATTCGCCTTTAGTGACTTTCAGGGTCTGATCAATGTCCACGGTCTGAAATGCTTTTTTAAGTTCATCTTCTTTTGTAATCATCTTCTGAAGCAAAATCTGCTTGATATCAACTGAAGACAATGTGGGATCGGGGACAGGACTGACAGATGAAGCTATAAAATATTATACAATTATACTGCCTTCTTAAGCCTGGTAAAATACCATTTTTTACAAGAATCAATTATAAACCACATCAGCTTCTATGCTATCTCTCCCCAAGTTTAGCATTTGTGCAGTAACAATCATGAGTACATATTCTATGGTCAACAGTAGCCATCCTGATGCCTTTGGGAAAAGTACAAGGAAGAAATGAATGCAACAGTCCTCCTCAACTGTGTGTCTATGACCTCTAATATTCAAAAGGACACTGCTACAGAACATGGAGGCTCATTTAGCTAGCATGGCTACTAGGTTTGCTTCCCTTGTACCAATACAGATCTCCAAATTCTTCCTACAAATCTTTAAACTCGCAGCCTTCCCCACAGTAAATTGCTGTTCCCTAACCCTGCACTATATAGCATCCACTCATCCACTCCCATCATACACTGATGACTAATGGCATCCTTCTCAGTCCACTTTTCCTTCCACTCTGGAGACTCTTACACATCTTCCTACCAGAAGGAGATGCATATTATTATTTTAAATGAGTCAGAAATATGCAAGGCACAAGATGATTATATTTTCATTTCCGCTACCTAACTTTCACACCTGAAAGAACCCTCAGAAGCCTGCTTATAATCTAAAACACTCTTGCCCAACCTTGCACCTTCCAGAGGTGTTAGACTACAATTCCCAGCATCCTCCAGCCAACCATGTAAACTTTAATGCATGTGCTTACTTGAAAATGATTTGTCAGAGCTTTCTATGCTGCTACGTGTTGATGATCTGCTTGAGGGTGTAGATGACTGTCTTGATTTAAACACAATTCCATGTGACTGAGGGCATAAATTACTGTAATCAGATGCACTAACCACTCTGGACATGATTCCTATGGAAAGTAAAAGGAATAATACCACCTCTGAAGGCACAGAAACAAACTGAAACAAAAGTGATCCCTCTGCATAAGTTTTTTGAATAGATGAAGGTAACAGGATTCCATGCAGAGGATGTTGGGGTTTAAGTTCAAATTTGCAGTGGCACTTTTTGGATGGCAAAATGTCTTAGGCAATTTCTGCACAACAGGAGGCTTGGCTCCTAGTTTTAAACTATACATGATAAGGAGTTCTGTACCTCCTTTTAATCCCAGATTCGCTTTAAGTCTCTGGTGAGGGAAAGGATGCTTGATTTTCCCTTATCACTTCTCAGAAAAGGAAATATCAGAAAACTGAAACTCCTAAACATTCCTCCTGTAGCTGAAAAAGCAGCTTGGTGGTGGGGTGTGTGTGTTTTTACACTAAAAAATAGCAGGTGATGAAAGGGTCCAGCAGCTTCTCCTCTTCCTCTACTTTGTCTTCTTATCTGCCTCTTTATTATCGATTAATTGATTGATCTTATAGACCACTTCAATAATCATATCAGACACTCTAAACAGTTCATAATCATAACAATAAAAACAAAACAGTTAAAACAATATACATATAACCATATTATAAATATGACATAATAACTATAACAAATATAACAGGTATGAGTATTAAAGCATGGTGACTCAAAATCTTAATTTCTAAAAATCATTATGATAATAATTATTAAAATATTTGAAAAATCAGCCTACGTTGTTATACCATTTAAAACAATGGAGGAAAGAATAATACTCTGTTAGGAATAGCCTATGCTGTCACAGTTCTAATGCTAATGATGTCATGCTGGCAAAACTAGGCAAAAGGAAAATGCAATGGTTTGTCATCCCATTGCAACAGCTTGGTTTGCTCCCAAAATCTGGTAGCAAATGGCAGCTTTTCCTCTTGTCTGGCAAGCATTAATAGTATTGCACCAGCACTGGATTTTGGCCACCCAGCTGGGGCTTCTCAGAGAAAGGTGGAACAAGGCTAAATATCTTGTATTTTAGTCTTCCCAGACTCCTTTCCACCCCGCTCCTCAAAACACCTGTTTAAGTGCTCTCCAGGGTTGCTTTCCCATCCATGGAAAGCAACTGGCATGATTTTTTTCCAAACTGGCTACAAGGGGGCATGAGAAGGAAGTTGGAGCTCTCATTTTGAGCTCCAAGTTCAGAGACCTGTATCTAACCTCAGAAGTAGGAATCTGAAATAACCCATGGCCTCTCATACAATGTTTAGCAGCCATAGGATTGTTCCCTTATTTGTTCTTCCATGCGTTCCTGTACATGACAATACAAATGTAAGATTCATCCAGTTCGATGGGGTTTACATTCAGGTAAGTCAGTACAGGATTTCAGCCTTTTATCATAACTATTTGGAGTGCCATTTAGCAAAGTGTGTGGCTTTTACATGTTTGAAAAAGCAAACTAACAGTGAACTAAGTGAATGACAGAGTTGCACTACAGTTCCTGTGATGGTAGCACAAGGCTTACCTAGGGCCTTGACAACAAACTCTGAGAAATGGAATGCCTTTTAAGAAACAAACTGATCTGAGTAATGTCCAAGAAAATAATTATTACAATATTCCATAGTTCTAAAGCACTTTCTCAAGTCGTTCAGTGGTTTCACATGCTTCATCATACCAATCCTTACAATATCCCAGAAGTATTCAATAGGTGGAGGCTACTGTCAAATTATTTGTATTATTTCTTTTCTATACAACCCAGCCCCCTTCATGGATCACTGCCTTGTCATAGCGAAGGGGCTTGCGTAGCTCAATGAAGCTATGAGCTATGCCGTGCAGGGCCACCCAAGACGGACTAGTCATAGCAGAGAGTTCTGACAAAACATGATCCACTGGAGAAGGAAATGGCAACCCACTCCAGTATCTTTGACAGGAAAACCCCATGGACAGTATCAAAAGGCACAAAGACATGACATCGGAAGATGAGCCCCTCAGGTCAGAAGGTGTCCAATATGCTACTGGGGAAGAGCAGAGGGCAAGTACTAGTAGAGCCAGAAAGAATGAAGCAACTGGGTCAAAGCCGAAAGGACACTCAGTTGCAGATGTATCTGGTGGTGAAAGGAGAGTCTGATGCTGTAAAGATCTATACTCCATATGTAAGATCCATGAATCAAGGCAAGCTGGACGTGGTCAAACAAGAGAGGACAAGACTGAACATCGACATCTTAGGAATCAGGGAACTAAAATGGACAGGAATGGGTGAATTTAATTCAGATGACCATCAGGTATACTACTGCGGACAAGAATCCCTCTGAAGAAATAAGTAGCCTTCATAGTCAATAAAAGAGTAGGAAAAGCAGTACTGGGATACAATCTTTAAAATGACAGAATGATCTCAGTTCAAATCCAAGGCAAACCATTCAACATCACAGTAGTCCAAGTCTATACCCCAATGACTGGTGTTGAAGAGGCTGAAGTTGACCGGTTCTGTGAAGGCCTACAACACCTTCTAGAAATAACACCAAAAAATGATATCCTTATCATCATGGGGGACTGGAATGCTAAAGTAGGAAGCCAAAAGATAACTGGAATAACAGGCAAGTTTGGCCTTGAATTACAAAACGAAGCAGGGCACAGGCTGGCAGAATTTTGTCAAGAGAACACGGTGGTCATAGCAAACACTCTTTTCCAACAACCCAAGAGACGACTCTACACATGGACATCACCAGATGGACAACGCAGAAATCAGATTGACTATGTGCTCTGCAGCCAAAGATGGAAAAGCTCTATACAGTCAGTAAAAACAAGACCAGGAGCTGACTGTGGCTCAGATCATGAGCTTCTTGTGGCAAAATGTAGGCTTAAATTGAAGAAAGTAGGGAAAAGCATTAGGCCACGCAGGTATGACCTAAATCATATCCCTGATGAATATACAGTAGAGATGACAACAGATTTAAGGAATTAGATCTGATAGACAGAGTGCCTTAAGAACTATGGACGGAGATTCGCAACATTGTACAAGAGGTAGCAACTAAAACCATCCCAAAGAAAAAGAAATGCAAGAAAGCAAAATGGCTGTCTGAGGAAGCTTTACAAATAGCTGAGGAAAGAAGGGAAGTAAAAGGCGAGGAAGAAAGAGAATTATACACCCAGTTGAATGCAGAATTCCAGAGAATAGCTCGAAGAGATAAGAATGCCTTCTTCAGTGGAAAGAAACAGAGGAAAACAATAGAATAGGGAAGACCAGAGATCTCTTCAAGAAAATTGGGGATATGAAGGGAACTTTTCATGCAAAGATGGGAATGATAAAGGACCAAAATGGCAGGGAACTAACAGAGGCAGAAGGAATTAAGGTGGAAAGATTACACAGAAGAACTATCAACCACCTCAAATATGCAGATGACACCACTCTCATGGCAGAAGGTGAAGAGGAACTGAAGAGCCTCTTGATGCAGGTGAAGGAGGAGAGCGCAAAAGTTGGCTTGAAACTCAACATTAAGAAAACTAAGATCATGGCATCCGGTCCTATCACTTCCTGGCAAATAGATGGGGAACAAATGGAGGTAGTGACAGATTTTATTTTCCTGGCCTCCAAGATCACCGCAGACGGGGACTGCAGCCAAGAAATTAAAAGACGCTTACTCCTGGGGAGGAAAGCTATGGCAAATCTAGACAGCATTCTAAAAAGCAGAGATATCACCCTGCCAACAAAAATGCGTATAGTCAAGGCTATGGTTTTCCCAATGTACGGCTGTGAAAGTTGGTCCATAAGGAAGGCTGAGCACCGAATGAGGCTTTTGAATTTTGGTGCTGGAGAAGACTCCTGCAAGTCCCTTGGACTGCAAGGTGATCAAACCGGTCTGTCCTAGAGGAGATCAACCCTGGCTGCTCTTTAGAAGGCCAGATACTGCAGATGAAACTCAAATACTTTGGCCACCTAATGAAAAGGAAGGACTCACTGGAGAGGAGCCTAATGCTGGGAACAACAGATGGCAAAAGAAGAAGGGGACGGCAGAGAATGAGGTGGCTAGATGGAGTCACTGAAGCAGTTGGTGTCAGCTTAAGTGGACTCTGGGGGATGGTGGAAGACAGGAAGGCCTGGAGGAATGTTGTCCATGGGGTTGCGATGGGTCGCACATGACTTCACGACTAACAACAACAACAACATAGAACCCAACACCTGAAGCTGTCTGGGCAGTTCACAAGGATTCATAAAATATAATAAAATACAGTATAAAATGCAAATAACAATAAAAACTTCATGATGTTTCCCTACAGAAATGAAAAACCAAATTTAAAAGCCTCTGTCTCAGAGCAATGGAAGTTGGTCCAATAAATGTTACTACTTTAACTTTGTTACTTCTACATGGAAAGGGGAAATTCCAAGATGAATATCCATTTGATAAATCAAGCACAGTATCTGTGAGCCAATCACAAAGAGAATAAGCTGGATGTAATGTATATATACAAGGTAGTTCATGTTGGTTTTTAAATTCAGGCTTTCATCAGATATTTTTTCAGAGAAAAGAATTAATATAGTGAAAAGTTGTTAGCTCCAAGTTTCATAATTAAACCACAGATATCAATTTTTTAAAAAAGGTGGAATAATTGGAAATTATTTCTTTCTTTAGCTGATCTGTATAAATTACAATGAGAAACAGATTAATTTATGGATCAGAATTTTTGTTTTATAGAGGGTGAGATTAAAACAAAGAATAAATATGTTCTCTGATGAGATTCTCCACTAATTCCTATATGACGAAAATATTTTTGCTTGTTTTTAAAGTACAACACAAGAGACATGAAAAGTAGTATAACCTAGGATATAAAAGCATTAACCATCAGCCGCAAAATTTGTGGTTCAAATGTAGGCCTGCTACAGATTTAATTTGTGACTCTAAACAATGGATCATTTCTCAGTATGTTCAAACATTCATTCTCTCATCTATAATAACTGGACACTAAGGAGTTCTCCTAACTTACATTTTAGTTTCAGTCCCATACAGGCATTCAGTTCCAT